CCTCGGCGCCATCCTTGGCGCAGGCTGGCGGTGCAGGCCCAGGGGTGACCCAGCCAGGAGCCCACACGGACCGCTCCCAGGAAGCGATGCCATCTCCGAGCGTCTGTGGGGCAAACAACAGTCATCCTGACAGAGAAAAGGCCCCTGCGAGTCCCCTCCCACCCTCCAGCGTGTCCAACAGGGACCCACCCGGGCACTGGAAGGAGCAAGGCCTCCTCTGCAAGTGACGCGGGTGCGTGCGCCTCGCTCCACACCCCACGCCCCACACCCCACACCCCACGCACTCTCACTCACTCCATCACACTCACACACTCCATCACACTACACTCCACCACACACTCTCACACTCCATCACACACACTCACACTCCATCACACGCACTCACACACTCCATCACACTACACTCCACCACACACTCTCACACTCCATCACACACACTCACACTCCATCACACACACACACTCCATCACACTACACTCCACCACACACACTCACACTCCATCACACACACTCACACTCCACCACACACCCGCACTCACTCACATATACACTCACACTCACACACCAACCCACAGCCCACACTGACCTATCTCGGCAGCAGTGCTCAGCGGCGGTAGCTGAGGCTGGCAGCCTTGGCTGGATGAGTCACAGACCAAAAGTTCCGTCTATTCTGAAGTTTCTGGAAGGCATTGAAGTTTCTTTTCCTTTCTCTCTTGAACTTTTTAATTTTCTTCTCCTGTTTCGAGAATCACAGGTGTCACAACTGTCAGAAGGGCGGTCCCTGGTCCCAGTGGCCACTACGTGCGACACAACTCTTAATGCGCAACATAACCAAGACTTACTCCTCCCGTGGCCTCTGGGAGGCGCCCACTCCCCCACTTCACTGATGAAGGGACAGGAGCGACCGGGGACCAATGCCCTGCCCGTGGCCACATTTACGGCGGGCGGCCAAGCAGCACCTGAACCGGGCACCTGGCTCCAGTCCGGGCCGCAACCACGTCCAACTGCCCAAGAACCAGGCCCTCCGTGACCGCGGTCGCGCCGTACCTTCCCACGATCAAACTCTTCATCCCAGTCGTCGATCACCGTGGAGGCGCGGGCCAACCTGCTGTCGTGCATGGCATCCCGGCTGACCGCCGACACCTCGCCGCCCCACGTCAGAACTGCAACAGACACACGCGTGGTGGCCCCTCGATCCCCACCACCCTCATTATTTCTCCTTTTAAAGGCAATTAACTTTGCCGGGACAACCCTGGTTCTAGATCTGAAGTGTACCGTTCTCTGTACATCGCTGTATTCCGCACCATCGCCCACCCAGTGGGCTCTGTCCTCACACAGGTGACCCCTTCACCCTACAACTACCCCCACCCCACCCAGTGTAGTTGTTTCTAAACCCTCGGCCTCATCTGAGAAACAAAGACCTCGTGTTCTTTCTCCAGGTCTGACTTATAAAAACGAGCTGGCGAATAAGAAGTTGCCTTTGAGTGCTGGGCCGGTGCTGCTGCCCCCTCCCTCCTGGCCTGGCCTGTCCCCCGGGGTGCACGCTCTGGGCTCTCCCACTCTCCTGCCCCTGGACCCAGGGAGAAGCTGTTCTGGATCTTTCCACAGATAACCCCCGCCCTGTGAGGACCAGTTCTTAACCTCTGTGCGATGGGGTCAGACAGGACCATTTAGACCAGTGGTTCTCAACCTTCCTAATGCCGCGACCCTTTAATACAGTTCCTCATGTTGTGGTGACCCCCAATTTCATTGTTACAAATTGAACATAATTAAAGCATAGTGATTAATCACAAAAACAGTATGTAATTATATATGTGTTTTCCGATGGTCTTAGGCGACCCCTGTGAAAGGGTAGTTCGGCTCCCAAAGGGTCTGGACCCACGGGTTGAGAACCGCTGGTTTAGACCCTCTTCCCATCTTTACAGCCAAGTGACACCTGCGTTCTCAGGGCACCAGGATCCACCCCCAAAAGGACAGAAGCCCAGGCTGGAGCAGCACCTTTCTTCCCGTAGGCTTTATCCGACGCGCATTCGAGCAGCTCCCACACCACGCTGGCGCCTCGCTCCCTGGGCCAGGAGTGCCGAGGAGTCTGCTCCGGCCCTGCGAGCAGACACACGAAGTGTGCGTTGGCAGCCACCACGCGGGAGCGCCGCCCTGGACTCAGAGCAGGGCTCCAGGGCCCGTCTTCCCGCCGGAAGGGGTTGCCCATGAAGCAGCCCTCCACCCAGGACCCTGCCCCGCCCGGCGCACACCTGCGAGGTCCCCAGGACTCTGGCCGTTGACAGCAGGCGCTGGGCTGCTCCCGGGGACGGCAGGGCCCCTCCAGCCTCCGGGGTGCTCCTCCTCTTCTCCTTCCTGCCGGGACTCCAGCTTTCTCTTTTTCTTCTTCTTTTTCCTCGGAGATGCTGCCGTGGCCTCTGGCTCGGCGTCCGAGGGGGAGCAGCTCCTGGGGTCAGCATCAGCAGTCAGCTCCCTCCCCCTTCCACTGGCGTGCCTGACCCACAGGCACCCGGAACGGCCCCACCCTGAGCCTGGCCGGGGACCAGTCATGCTGCTGTCCACGCCACAGCCAAGCATGGGGGCGCTGGAGCTCCACCCAGGAGTCCTACCAGCGGGTGATACAAGTGCAGGGCCAGCCGGGCTGGGTCAGGTGACGGCCTGTGCATGGTGCCGGCCAGGTATGCTGCCACCCACTGGCCTGGGTCAGCAGGCTGGACCTGCCAGCCACACGCACCGGGAGGGGGTTGCTGGTGGGAGGCAGGGTGTCTGGGTCCGTGTTCTCACCTGCGCCGAGGCGGGTCCTGGCGGAGGCAGGCTTCTCCTTCCCCGCCGAAGCCATCCACTCCCTTCCTCCTCCTCTTGCTCATGTGGGGGCTGTCCGTCCTGCATCCCACCGGCCAGCCATTCGCCAGGCCCCGGCCGTTCACTGGCTGCTGCCCACCCTCTGCCTCCAGGCTGGAAGCTGGTCGCTCCACGCTGCCCTCCGGGCTCCAGTGCTGCCCTTGCGCCTGCCCCGCCTGCAGGCGGGCGATGTCCGTGTCCTCGGGGCGCTTCCTCTTCTTCCTCCTCCTCTTTCCAGGAGGGGCCGCTGCCTCCCCAACCTCCGTGCCCGGCCTCGGGGCCTCTCCCAGGCGCTTCCGTTTCCTCTTCTTACAAAGGCTCTGGAGGGGCTCGCTGCCCTCGGGCTGGTGTGGGGGGGCCCGAAAGCCCCCGTTGACCTGAGGCAGGGGAGCACAGGCGGAGTTCGGGGGGCTGCTGGGCAGGGTGGCGGCGTGGGGGGGCTTTGGGACGCTGGGTGATCCGGGAGCAGGTGGCACAGCCCTGTGAAGACAGACTGGCAGTGAGACGGCTGTTCTGAGACCCAGGCCCACCCTCAGCAGCCCCCTCCCCCCAGGAACCTCAGCTTAAAAAACTGGGTGTAAGTTAAAAAGACAGACTAGCGATGACATTCAGGCCTACTTAAGATCAAGGTTAACAAAAGTCATTATCTCCCTCTCAGTTTCTCATCACCAAGCAGTACAATGTGTGTCTGCAAACTCCAATGTTTTGCATTTTTGGTACAAATGTGTAAAAGCTACAGTCAATCCCCACCCTCCGGAGTCTCGGGGTGTCCAGGCACAAGAAGGGCCGTAAGAGAGGCTCGGACAGGCCTCTGCATCTTCCACTCTGACTGTGTCCTCTGGGATCTGGGGTTCCGGGGAATCAGGGAATCCAATTTCACCAGGGGGCCTCCCAGCAGGACGAGCAGGGACGAGGGACGGAGTCTAGAGCAGGTCGGGTCAGCTCTGACCTGTGCCCCGCTCGCTATGGACCCGGAAGGGTTAACTCTCCACACTGAGACCCCCACCTGAAAATGACTGACCAGAACGCCGGCCTGAGGTCACCATCTCCACCAGAACAAGCTACGATGCCAGCGACTGTACTACACCTCACCGCTCTGCGTTTTCCGGAATTAAAAGTCAAACGAAGAAAACTACCCAGTAAATACCTCACACGCTTCAGGACCTGCCACGAGCACAGAACAGAGGGCCGGTCCGGCCGCACACCGGCCTCCGTGGCGGCCACCGCAGTTCTCGTGGGCGCACGGGGACAGCAGCCGCCCCGGCCCGGCCCGCGCTTACCTGCTGGCACCCACAGGCCGGGCGCAGGCGGCGGCGGGGTGAGTGGCTTTCCTGGGGTGGGTGGGGTCGGAGAGTGGCGGAAGGGGCGGCGCTCGGTCAGTGCCGGGGGCCCTCCGCAGGGGGCTGGCCTGCAGTTATTGACATAAATAAAAACTTGGTGGTCTAAAAAAGTTGTGGTGAGTGAGAGGAAAAATAAATGTAAAAAAAAAAACAAATACAAAAAAAAAATGAAAGAGTTCAGAAAGCAGGATGGGGGACAGCGAGGGGTGGGGGGTGATAGAGGAAGAATCAGAAGTGTTTTTGGTTAGAAACAAAAAGGAAAAGGAAGGAAATTTCAACAAAAACCCAAGCAGGCCCATCCCACCACGGAGCTCCGCGTTGCACCCAGAGGCTCCAGCACCCGTGTCCCTCGGCCACCCCGTGCTCGGAGCACCGTGAGCCCAGCACCCCGTCCTCCCTCTGGATCCTGGTTCCTCCCAAGAGAGGGAGACCTGCATCGCCCCAAGTCTCTGTCAGCACATGGAGTGACAGTGGGAAATCAGGGTTCCCTGAACCCCAAT